ATCATGATTGATAAAGTGGTGGCAAAATATTTGAAACGCTATGATTTTGTTACCTTCTATGAGTATGCTTCTTAAATATGGTTAACAGTCTGTATTTAAATAGTAGGATTATTTATTTAAAAATAAATGCTCCTGATCCTTACTCTAAACTAACATAATCAGTATCTGAGTGTGGGATCTAGGAATCTGCATTTTAGGTAAGTGCTCCAAGCTTGTCTTAAACATAATTATGTTTGATAGTCACAGTGTAGGAGTTTTTTTCCACTGCCCTCTGCTTTTTATGGGCCAGAATCAATTTTATTGTTTATCTTTAACAAATATGAGACTGATGAAACAGTTTGGTCATAGTCGTAGAATTCTAGAGCCTTTATAAAGGTGCTTCAAGGTTATGCTAGCTTAACAGTCTTATAAAGGAGAAAACTGAGGCCAAATGAGAATGTCTGAGTGGCTTTTACAACTCTGATTTATAATTAATAAGGCATTTTGCTATGAATTGTAGACCAGAATAAGATGTATAAAATATTTCTGCACTGTGTAATTATGTTCATGGTTAAGCATTATTTGTAATCCAATTCCACAGACTCTGCCTTTAATTGGGCTATTTAGATCATTTGCCCTTAATGTAAGTACTGATATGGTTATGTTTAAATTGCTTATCTTGCTGTTTCTCATTTGTTTGTCCCATCTCTTCCTTGTTCCCTTTATTCTCTTTTTCTGCCTTCTTTTAGATTCCTTATGGGGCGTACTGGCTTATAAATTATATGTCTTTGGTGTATATATGTTTCTTTTTAAATAATGATTACTTTAGAGTTTATAATTAATATGCATTTTTACCTTGCCACAGTCTAACTTCAAGTAAATGTATCACTTTACATACCTGCAACAGTATACTTTGCCCTTTCCCTGCCTTTGTGCTATTGTAGTCATACATTGTATTTCTACATATGTTGTAAACCCCCCAATACATTTTTATCCGTTTATTTTTAGTACGTATTTTTATTTAAGCACTTATCTTTTAGGTATTTGAAAAATAAGAGAATGGTTTTTAGAATTTATCCCATGTTAACCATTTCTTTCTTTCTTTCTTTCTTTTTTTTTCTGGAGACAGCATCTTGCATTCCCCTCCAGTCTGGAATGCAGTGGTGCCATTTCACTTCACTGCAGCTTTGACCTTCCAGGTTCAGGCAGTCCTCCTGCCTCAGCCCCTTAAGTAGCTGGGACTACAGGAACACACCACCATGCCCAGCTTATTTTTGTATTTTTTGTAGAGGCAGGGTTTCACCATGTTGCCCAGGCTGATCTTTAACTCCTGAGCTCAAATGATCCACTCACCTCGGCCTCTCAAAATGATAGGACTACAGGCGTGAGCCACCGTGCCTGGCCTCATATTAATTGTTTCTGATGCCCTTTATTCTTTTGTATAGATCTAGATTCCCATCTGGTGTAATTTTCCTTTTGCTTGAATGACTTGCTTTAGTATTTCCTGTAGTGCATGTCTGCTGTTGATGTCAGTTTTTGTATGGCTGAAAAAGTATTTATTTCAGCTTCATATTTGCAAGATTTCTATTTCCTAGGTATGGAGTTGTAGGTTTTTTTCTTTACGTGCCTTAAAGATGTTGCTCTGTTTTCTTCTAGTTTGTATTTTAGACGGAGAAGTCTGCTGTCATTCTTATTTTTGTTTTTCTGTATATAACATGAATTTTTCCCTGGCTGCCTAAAAGCTTTTATCACTAGCTTTCAGCAATTTGATTATATTGTGCCTTGGTGTAATTTTGTTCATGTTTTTTGCTCATGAGTTTCATTGAACCCCTTGAATCTGTCTGTAGATCGATAGTTTTTACCAAATTTGGAAAAAATTTTGTCCATTATTCAAATATATTTTATATCTCCCATTCTTCTTTGGGGACTCCATTTGCACATATATTTGGATGCTTGGAGTTTTCCTACAATTGATTGATGCTTAATTCTCATCAGCCCCCATATATTTTTGGTTTCATTTAGGATGTTTTTCTTACGCTTTTTCTTCGTGGTAACACATTTTTCCTCTGTAGTGTTTAATCTGCTCTTGATCCTATCCAATACATTTTTCCATTTTTTTTTTAACTCTAGAAGATTAATCTTTTATATCTTCTTCTGTAGATCTTCTTAACATGCTCTTTTTTTTCTACCTTCTTAATGTGTGGAATATAGTTACAATAATTTCCATTTTCTTTGTTTTGGGTCTGTTTCTGTTGAGGTTTCTGCGTCATGGTTTGTATTTTCCTGACTTTGTGTGCCTAGTAATTTTTGACTGGATGCTAGACATTGTAGAGTTTACCTTGTTGAGTGCTAGCTATTTTTATATTCATTTACATACTTGAGTTTTCTTCTGTGACACAGTTTCTTGGAGACAGTTTGTTCTTTTGAAGCCTGTTAAGCTTTGTTAGGCAAAATCAGGAGAACTATTAGCTACTTCTTAGGCATTTTGCCACCTTTATGATAGAGTTTTTGACAGTTTTGGTTGGTGGAGACATGAACTATTCCTTGTCCTTTGTGATAATTTGGGTACTTGTTCACTTGATCATTTCAGGTAGTTATTTTTCCCAGAATATAAGTTAGTTTCCTCACACACATAAACTGTTTCAGTACTCACCTAAAAACTCAAGGGGACCTCCTGCAGCTCTCCGAAGTTCTTTCTCTGTGAAGGTCCCTCTTCTCTGATAGTCTTCCTCTGCAAATTCTAGCTGCCTTGTCTTCCCTTAATTTTCAACTCTGTCTCCTCAACTCGAGAGTCTGCTGGAATATATTTGGACCCTCCTAGTGCTCTAGAAATTATTTCCAGGAAGTTAGCTGGAGAAATACAGGGCTTATTTCATTTGACCCCTCTTTCTCAGAGTTACCGTCTAGTACTGTCTTTTGCCCAGTGTCTGAAACCATGACTTCCTATGTTTTATCTTTTTTCTTAAAGAGATGGGAGTCTCACTGTGTTTCCTAGGGGCTAGAGTGTAGTAGCTGTTAGCAAATGCAGTCATAAAGCACTGCAGCTTTGACTTCCTGGGCTCAAGCAGTCTTCCTGATTCAGCTTCCTAAGTAGCTCGGACTATAGACACTACCAGCATGCCTGGTTCTGTCTTTTTTTGTTGTTTTTTTTGTTTGTTTTTTAAACCATTTAAGGTGTGAGGGTTAACTTGATTCCTGTTAATCTATCTTTGTCAAAAGTGGAAGAGCATGTTTAAGTGTTCTTTAAATACAGAAGCTATTTTTATTTTAACAAAAAGAACTGTGCCATGTTTTGTAGTCTCTTTTTGATAATGTTCTATTGGGAGTAAAAACAGTGATGCCTGTTTAAAGTGGTCAGTTCTGTAAGTTGAGCCTATGGTATATACACATTTATTTCAAAAACAGGCATTTAAAAATGTCCTAATAGCAATCACATTGGTCATTTCATCAGGAAATGAATCTTTTCTGTTACTCATATAGCAACATTTGGGAGAAGTTTCTTAGGTGGTTTTCTTTTTCTCTCCTAAGAAAAGAGCTTACAGGGCAAAGACAAAATCTCAGTGTAAGTGATGCACAGATTTATTTGTTTCAAAAATATTTAAATGCTTACTTTGTGCCTGGAAATATTCTGGAGATGAAGCAGTGAATGGGATAAAAATTCCCGTCCTCGCAGAGCCAATAACTTACTCTAGAAAGACAGACAGTAAGTAAAACAACTAATACTTACCAGATGTTGACAGGCACTATTGAGAAAGTAAATACAGTAAAGTAATGCAGGGGATAGAATAGAAAGTGCCAGGAAGTAATAAGAAAAATTTCTTGGAAAGCTCTTAGGGCTTTAGGAAAGGCCCTGAACTCTAGCAGTTGTAGAGTTCTTATTTAAACCTTAGCTCTGGATTCCATCCTTCCCAACCTCATAGTGTTTCCATCAGTTAATATTTTCTTATTCATAGAACTCCAATTTATATTTATTTGTTGACTGTTGACTTTCACTATATAACCATGTTGAAAATCTTTGTCTTTTAAACATTAGGAACAAAACAAGGTAAATAATCTTTATTTTGCTTGAATGCCCTGACTGGTAATCTAATCCAGTTTATTATTTCACAACCACAGTTCTGGAAAGTGTGTTTTGTGCTCATTGTCTTTACTTTTTTATATTTTCTTTTACCTCTTCAGTCAGGTTTGGCTTTTCAGCTTTCATACCATGGAAAATTGCCCTTGTTTAACAATGAGCACACAGCATGGCACAAAAGTACCAAATTCAGTGGGCACTTTTCAGTTCTTCCTTGATTTATTTGGTAGTAGATGCTGTTTAATCATACCTTCACTCTCATTGCTTGATTCCTTTAAAATCATTACCTTTGATTAGTTTTTAGCCATTCTGTCTTGGTCTTCTCTTCCTTCTCCTGCAGCTTGAATGAGTGGCTGGCCATTTAGTTTGTAGTAATACATACTTTTATTACAATATTCATTTTAAAGTAGATTGTTTTTTGTAGAATATTAGCTCTTTGAAGGCAGAATTATTAGTATTTTCATTGTTGCTTCCCCAGCATCTACCCTAGTACTTGGCACAAATGTGTTTAATAAATATTTATTTAGTGAATATGAATATACTAATGTGTTTAGCTTTCCTCTATTAAGTGAATCAGATACCAGTTTAATTAGCTTTATCTTCTACATTGCAGGATTAGCTGTATTGGTGCTTGACTTTTTGTGTGTCTGTTCACAAGTTGTTAGTGTCCTGATTGAAAATGTTCTCAAGACTCTGATCACTGCTTTCTGCATACTGAGTTTCTGTGGCCTCTGACCTTTGTGTCTTTAGAACCAAGTAGAACATACTTGTAAAAAAAGGAGAGGAGGTATCTTTTAGTTATTTGTGGCTACTGGATTGATTCTGAGAGTTTTTTGTAACTTTTTTTTCGTACCAATCCAGAAACAGATTTTTACTGCTTCAGACGGGCAAGGGATACATTTTAGTTTCAAAGTGTTATAAGGAGTATTTCTGATGTCTCTGATAGTTGGTGTGGATGACTACAGCTCAGAGTCTGATGTGATTATTGTACCTTCAGCCCTGGACTTTGTCTCACAAGATGAAATGTTGACACCCCTGGGGAGATTGGACAAGTATGCTGCAAGCGAGAACGTATTTAACAGGTACGTGCATATTATTTTTGTTAAGGTGGAAGTGGAAGGGTGGCTTTATTAACTTCAGTAGGAAAAATGAAAGTATCCATTTTCAAAGGTGGTGTTATTAACAGGCACAATCTGAGTCACCAAGTTTTATTCATAATCATAGCATAAGCAGCTTTGTACTTGTTTATTCTTTGATCCTAGTAAGCATACAGCACGCTTTCTTTCCAAAAAAAATACCATTACCATTGCTTTTCTGCCACTGGACGTAATTTTGATATTCATATAAATTGCTTATTGGGAAGTACATTATTCCTTCAACAGATGATGTTGTATACTTGCTGTGTAACAGGTGATGCTCAAGGTCATTGGGTCACATGGCAGTGACCAAGAGCCAGCAGCATTCTTCCTACTGCATTGCGTTTCTCCAGCTGTGATCCCAGATCACTTATATCACACTTTTCTGGGAGATCAAAAAGTGTTTGTTCAGATTTTTTGGATATAGCGATGCAAAATTCATAATAGTAAAAATATGTAAGGATAACGTTTTGTATAATGAATATGTTTTTTCATTATGATAATTGGAGGATAACTGAAACGAATTTTTGGTAACTTTTTGCCAACTCAGATAAAGATAAAAAATATGTAGGTAAATACGCAGTCTCATCTTGTCAAAATAAAAGCAAAACTGGCATTTGCCAATTAGAAAATTATAGGCAATATATGTTTTAATAATGTGTTAAGAAAAAAATTTCTTTAAAAATGTGCAGATTTTGTCTTTAAAAATTCTAGATACTGGCCAGGCGCAGTGGCTTATGCCTGTAGTCCCAGCACTTTGGGAGGCCAAGGCAGGTTGATTGCTTGAGCCCAGGAGTTTGAGACCAGCCTGGGCAACATGGTGAAACCTCATCTCTACTAAAGATGTTTAAAAATTAGCCAGGTGTGGTGGGGTGGTGTACACCCATAGTTCCAGTTACTCAGGAGGCTGAGATGGGAGGATTACCTGAGCCAGGGAAGTCAATGCTGTGATTAGCCATGATCGCACCATTATACTCCAGTCTGGGCAACAGGAATGAGGCCCTATCTCAAAAAAATAAAATTCTGGTTATTAACTATTGATGCCATTGAACGTATATAATTTTCTTTTTTTGTGTAGACAAATGGTGGCCCGGAGTTTGCTGGATACCTTGAGGGAAGTCTGCGATGATGAAAGAGATTGTATTGCTGTTTTGGAAAGAATTAGCAGATTGGCTGATGATTCAGGTATATGTTTATGTGGAGAAAGTGAATTTATTCTAGAAGGTTTTCTTTGACCAAATTTGTGTTTCTAAAAAACTAATGAAAAAGTTAATGTGATATGAGATACCTTTAAAAGATTTCCTAAGTAATTATCAAACCCATCAGTGACAACAAAAGTAAAATTTGTTACTGAGACCTGAACGTTGTAGTAGGCTTAGTTTAGTTTTAGAAATTTCTCATAAAACAAATCTAAAAACATTGTTTTGCATGATGTATATTACTGTTTTAGGATTAATAAAAATATCTAGAATAATTTTGAATACATTAAAAGAGATGGAGGAGGCTATACATTTTTTAGGCAAATAAAGAAAGCTTTTTTTCTCTGCTTTCTCACTTGGAAAAAATGTTGATTAACCATTTGTAAAACTAAAGTTGGTTTATCTCCAAAGTGAAGATAAGAAAATCTGCTTAAGAAAGAGGTAAACTTGATTTGAGGCTTAGAAAATGGTGATGTTAAGGTTTTTATAAATATGTTTCTTGTTGTAGTAAAATACACTTAACACATAAAACATGCCGTTTTAAGCTAATATTAAGCATATTTTAGTGCTTGATTTTAGAAACAATCCAAAAGTAAATTTTAAAACTTTTTTCCTTAAATCTTTTCTTTTATTAAAATATATTTTCCATTTCTGACAGACTTTTTGGCATGTCAGCAAGCCCCATCTTTTAATTTTTAGACAAGCTCATCTTTTGAGAAACAGTTTATTTTAATGGGAATATGGTAAATATTGACATAAGCCTTAAATGTTTCTAATGCTTTTATAGGGTGGGGAGAACATTTGTAGGCTTAACTGAGCAATAATCTACCTTTGTGTACATAATTACTTATGTATATGCTTATTCTAGAATAGTTTTAGGAGGGGTCTCGTCAAGTATAATTTTTACTTATTTTTTTAATTTGATTTAAGTTAAATTTGTTGTTCATGGCACTGTTATAGCCTATTGTGGTTATATTCCTTAGTAGAGACAGATACTTTTTAAGGATAAATTTGTGTTTTCCTTTACCTGTTTACCAACTCTAGTTTTTTTAAAATAAATGTGTGTGTGTGTGTGCGTGTGTATGTGTGTGTATTTTAAAATATGTTCTCACATTGGTAAATTCATAGTAAATGTTTCCATTGAAACGAATAATTCTATTCGTTCAGTATACATCAAACAGTGCTCTATTACCAGGTTCTAGATTAAATGCTAGAGCAGTTATTAAGGTGAACAAGGATTTCTGTCATCAAATTAACAGTTTAGTGAATGTAACCAACATATAAACAATAAATTATAATGGGAAGGATCAGGGCAGGGTTCAGAAAGTTAGTGACATTTGAGTTGTATTTGATAGAATGATGAAGTATAGAGAGGAGAAAGGGCATACCCAGGAGAGGAAAAGACAGACTTAGAGGCTTGAGGAGTTCAAGGTGGTGGCCCATGTGGTCAGCAATGAGGCCAACCTGACAGTGAGACTAACCTGCTGAGTTTCCAGGTGAGAAAAATTAGGCCGTTAAATAAGGTAGGTGGGGCTAGATTGTAAAGGTTTATAATATACCCTGCTGATGACTTTACCTGTTTTGTGATTTAGAACAGTGTAATGTAGCAGTATGAACTGATATGGTGAAAAAGATGGGTGACAAGAAGACTAATTGGAAGACTATACCAATTAATTGTTTTTCGTTTTGTTTTTGTTTTTTTGAGACAGAGTCTTGCTCTGTCGCCTAAGCTAGAGCAGAGTGACGTGATCTCTGCTTGCTGCAACCACCTCTGCCTCCCAAGTTCAAGCAATTCTCATGCCTCAGCCTCACGAGTAACTGGGATTATAGGCGTGCACCACCACCCAGTTAATTTTTATATTTTTAATAGAGAAGGGGTTTCACTATGTTGACTAGGCTGGCCTGGAACTTCTGACCTTAAGTGATCCACCTGCCTCGACCTCCCAAAGTGCTGAGATTATAGGCATGAGCCACCGACCATGAGTGACCGGCCAATCAGTTGTTGTAAGGGCGAATTGTTGGATAGAAATTGAAGTGCTAGGAGGGATTGATTCCAAGGCTAACCTCTGGATAGAGTGAGAAAGAGAGAGTAATTGACCTTGAGGTTTCTCATTTGTAGAACTGGGCCTATTGTGGTATTTGGGTAAGATAGGCTGTTGAATAAAACACAGCTCTGAAGTGAATGGAATATATATTCTTTGTTTAGACAATTAAGCAGATGAGAACCTTCCTGTCTTCTGCTTTACCTTTCATCCTTTCATTCACTTTTATCTTGATTTATTCCACTAAATTTACCATCTGCTTTTACTTTATTTTCCCCTGGAATGGACAGATATGTAGTGGCATCTCGTTGTGGTTTTAATTTACATTTCCTCAATAACCAATGATGAAGTTATATACTTACTGGCTATTTGGCTATCTTCTTTTTTTTTTTTTTTTTTTTTTTTTTTTTTTTTTTTTTTTTTTTTTTTTTTTTTTTTTTTGAGATGAAGTCTCATTCGTCACCCAGGCTGGAGTGCAATGGCACAATGTCAGCTCACCACAACCTCCTCCTGGGTTCAAGCAGTTCTTCTGCCTCAGCCTCTCAAGTGGCTGGGATTATAGGCATGCGCCACCACCACGCCTGCCTAATTTTTGTATTTTTATTAGAGATTAGGTTTTACCATGTTGGCAAGAATGATCTGGAACTCCTGACCTCAAGTGACCCACCCACCTCAGCTTCCCAAAGTGCTGGGATTACAGACATTAGCCACCACACACCCGACTTCTTTTTTGAAATGTCTAAGTCTTCCCCCTTTAAATAATTGGCAGTCATTTTCTTACAGATTTACAGGAATTCATTCTGCATATGAGCCCAATGTCATTTATGTATATTAAAGATTTCTTTTTCACTCTGTGGCTCATCTTTGCACTCAAAGTGATACTTCTTAAAGAAGAGAAGTGCTTTTCCTTTATGGATAGTGCCTTTGTGTCTTTGTAGAGATTTTCTCCAACCTCAAAGTCATATATATCTTTTCGTACTCTGTTAACACAGAGAATCCTTACTGTTTTTGCCTTGATGCTTAGATCTGTATTCCACCTGGAATTTATTCATGTGCCTGATACAAAGTAGAGGACAAGTACTATCTTGCTTTTCTTTTTTTTCTTTTAATGTGGGTAGCCAGTTGACACAATACTGTTTATTAAAAAGACCATCTTTTCTTGTTCATCTTTTAATAAATCAATTGTCTATACATGCATGCATCTGTTTCTGGACTGCATTTTTTTTTCCCATTGGCCTATTTGCCTAAGCAGTGCTTTGAAGAAAGAAAAGTTGCTGATTTCATTTATAACTGACACCATAACTTGTGTTCTCCTTTTGGTTCAAAAATATAAGCAATTGTCAGTGTTAACTTAGAAAATTCAGGACCATGAGAAAAGCAGAGGCCTGTATGTTTACTTTTTAAAAATTTAGGTTTTTCTTCAAAACAGAAATACTCTATTTTGTTCATATATGTCCAACTTCACATGGTACAAAAGTATAATAGAAATTCCAGATGGTTTGTTGATAAGATTCTGAGCTTTGTAAAATACCATGTTTTCTACTTAAAGCTATGTTAATTTCTTTTTGTTGAGATCTGAAACTCCACTGGACACATTCATACATATTTACTTTAATGTAACTTTAATAATGCATAATAATGAGTATCAAAGTTCTAGTTAGGTCTGATATAATGACATGTTACTGATAATTCATCATGTCTGTCTGTGTTTCAGTCACTTGCATGTCTTCTATGAATTGCCTACTTGTATCCTTATTTTCTTTCTTACATTTATTTGAACAGTGTGGTCTTTGTATAGTTCACCTAATACTCTGTTATACATGCATTTGTTCCCTGGCTGTTTTACCTTTTAACCAAGTATGGTATCTGTTACCTATAATAAAGTTTTTATTGTTTGTTTGTTTTGAGACAGAGTCTTGCTTTGTCACCCAGGCTGGAGTGCAGTGGCACTATCTGAGCTCACTGAAACCTCCGCCTGCTGGGTTCAAGTGATTCTCCTGTCTCAGCCTCCGGAGTAGCTGGGATTACAGGCATGCGCCACCACGCCCGACTAATTTTTGTATTTTTAGTAGAGATGGGGGTTCACCATGTTGGCCAGGCTGGTTTCGAACTCCTGACCTTGTGATCTGCCCACCTTGGCCTCAAAGTGCTGGGATTACAGGTGTGCCCAGCCTATAATAAAGTTTTTATGAAGTAAAATGAGTTGGTCTTATGGGTGATTTTTGGATTTTTGTCTTCCCACCTCAAGATTGAACATTTAATGTTACCTTTTAGTACTTTTGATCTTTATGTATGATGCGCAGTAGGAACTTTCGTTCCTTACATAACTAACAGCTTTTTCTACCATTACTTCTTGGACGTTTCATCTTTTTGAAGCCCAGAGATTTGAAATGTCATATTTCTCACATTTAAATTTTCCATATGCACTTGGATCTTTTCAGGTTTTTAAAAAATATTTGTCACCTTTAATTTTCATTTACCCATTTCTAATTATATATCTTTCACTTATTGAGATTAGGAGCTAGTTTTTTGTTTTGTTTTGTTTTGTTTTGTTTTGTTTTTGAGACTGAGTTTCACTCTTGTTGCTTAGGCTGGAGTGCAACGGCATGATCTCAGCTCACTGCAACCTCTGCCTCCCAGGTTCAAGTGATTGTCCTGTCTCAGCCTCCCGAATAGCTGGGATTACAGGTGCATGTCACCACACCCAACTAATTTTTGTATTTTAGGAGAGATGGGGTTTCATCATATTGGTAAGGTGGGTCTGGAACTCCTGACCTCAGGTGGTCTGCCTGTCTTGGTCTCCCAAAGTGCTGTGACCTCGCCCAGCCAGGAGCTAGTTTTTATGAATTGTCCTAGTAGGTTATTAAATAGTGGAATTTATGGATAATACTATATATCACAGTATTGATGTAACTATCGGACAGGATTTTAGCCCTTAGCACAGTGTGGCGCAGTGTAGGTAATAAATAAACTCATTTATTGTTAAGAAATGGTTAGATACTCAGAGCCTACTATAAACAACAGAAGCTTGGGTTGAGGATAAAGTCCTCTTTTCATTCATGGGATTGATCTGTGTATGATTGTGAAAAGGATTGGAAAAGTAAACAGTCTTTTTCTAAATCCTTTATATTTTGAAAATGAAAGTCCAAAGCCTTCCTAAGTATTCTGAAGTCTAGATAAAGCTTTTTTTGCTGTAGGAGAACATGTTTGCTCACATTATGGTTATCTCAATAGAACCAACTGTGAGAGCGGAGCTAATGGAACAGGTGCCTCATATTGCACTGTTTTGTCAAGAAAACCGGCCTTCAATACCATACGCTTTTTCCAAATTCTTACTACCTATCGTGGTTAGATATCTTGCAGATCAGAATAATCAGGTAAGAGTACCATTTATATGTTCATAAAATAAATTTATGTAGCGTAATGTATGGAGAATAGCCTAGCTTAAGTGTTGGAATGTTTTTTTCCTCTTTTACTTCGTTACTGTTTTTCCAAAATGAACATTTGTCTTAGATAAGATGTGTTTAGAGTCTGACAAATCTAGTAGATCTCTTTAATACCATTAGAGACAATGCCTAGTAACTCACTTGGTAACCTCCTAGGGATTCCTCAAAATGTTTGTTACTTTGTGAGGCATCTCTTACCAGGATGGCTGTGTTTCACTTACTCTGTTATATAACACAGTCTACCAAGTTCTATAGTCTTTGTAATAGTTGAAGAAAATAAACACAAATATTTATTTGCAAAGTTTTGCCAGTTATGGGTCCCTTTGAGATGAGAAATCTTTGTTTATAAAAATCAAGTGGTAGAATTTTGTCATGCCGCATATGAACTTTCTTTGTGTTTTTATTTTTCTCCTAGGTGAGGAAAACAAGTCAGGCAGCTTTGCTGGCTCTGCTGGAGCAGGAGCTCATTGATCGATTTGACGTGGAGACCAGAGTGTGCCCTGTCCTCATAGAGCTGACCGCCCCAGATAGTAATGATGATGTGAAAACAGAAGCTGTGGCTGTAAGTCGAATGCCATTTTTCTATTTATGGAAAATGTGGCTGATAAGAGGTGCTTATTAAAATCAGGCTGGGGTCGGGCATGGTGGCTCATGCCTATAATCCCAGCACTTTGGGAGGCTGAGGTGGGTGGATCACATGAGGTCAGGAGTTTGAGACCAGCCTGGGCAACATGGTGACACCCAGCTCTACTAAAAAAAATTAGCCAGGCATGGTGGTGTGTGCCTGTAGTCCCTGTTACTCAGGAGGCTGAGGCAGGAGCATGACTTCAATGTGGGAGGTGGAGGCTGCAGTGAACCAAGATTAGGCCAGTGCATTCCAGCCTGCATGACTGAGCAAGACTCTGTCTCAAAGAAAAGAAATAGGTTGGGCTGGGTGCAGTGGATCACACTTCTAATCCCAGCACTTTGGGAGGCCAAGGTGTGAGGATCACTTGAGCCCAGGGGTTTGAAATCAGCCTGGCCAGCATGGCAAAGCCCCATCTCTACTGAAAATACAAAAGAATTACCCAGGTGTGGTGGCACATGCCTGTAATCCCACCTACTCTAGAGGCTGACACACAAGAATCATTTGTATCTAGGAGGCAGAGGTTACAGTAAGCTGAAATCACACCACTGCATTCCAGCCTAGATGATAGAATAAGACTCTGTCTTAAAAAAAAAAAAAAGCCTACTTTACATTGTTTAACATGTTTCTATTAAAGTTGCCACAAATTATTAAATCTGAAATATAATCAGAGCTAGAAAGGGACATAAAGGCTTACAAAGGAAAATGTACCTTCTGCACGCAATAAGAAAATAATAAATGAGGGGGATCCAAGATGGCCGAGTAGGAGCAGCTCTGGATTGTAGCTCCCAGTGAGAGTGCAGAGGGTGAATGGCTGCCACATTTCCAGACAGATTTTTATTGCTCACAGACCAGAATATTCCCAGGTGGAGGAGCGCCACGGGTCTCTAGCGTGGCTGTTTTGGCCGGCATGGTGGATCTCCACACAGAAAACTCACACGGGTCCGGGCGCCTTTTCCGCTGGTGACTGGACCGCCTGGGAGAGAGAGTCACCCGTTCAGCTGATAAAAAGGGGACTGAAAGAGGGAGCCAGGCGGGGGGATTCCCAGGTGAAAAAGTGCCACGAGTCTCCAGTGCGGCTGTTTCAGCCGGCACAGCGGGTCTCCACGCAAAATCTCACACAAATCTGGGTGCGTTTTCAACTAGCGACTGGAACACCTGGGAGACAGAGTCACCCATTCAACTGAAAAGGGACTGAAACAGGGAGCAAGGCCAGGAGATTCCCGGGGAGAAAAAGCGCCATGAGCACCCGGCACGACTGTTTCAGCTGGCACAGCAGGTCTTGGCATAAGAACTCACACAAATTGGGGCGCCGTTTCAACTGGTGACTGGAATGCCTGGGAAACAGAGTTGCCCGTTCAGCTGAAAAAAAAAGGGTTCTGAGGCAGGGAGCCAGGTAATCAGGTGCGGCTGGTCCCACCCCCACAAACACCAGCAATCTGAAATGCTCTGGATTGAGAGTTTCACAGCAAGCACAGCTGAACCTGGGATGATCCAGCTCTGTGGGGGAGGGGTGTCTGCCATTACCAAGGGAGCCCACCGCTACCGAAGTAGTCTGCCATTGCTGAGGTCATCTGCCATTGCCGAGGCAGTCTGCCATTACTGAGACAGCCTGCTGTTGCCGAAGCAGTCTGCCATTACAGAGAGAGTCCGCCATTACAGAGGCGGGCTGCCATTGCTGAGGAAGTTCTAACCATATCCCTATAAACAGGACTGCAGGGAAGTTCACACGGCAGCTGGGCAGAGCCCACAGCAGATCAGCAACGCCTTTGCTGGCAGACTGTGACTAGACTGCCTTCCTCACTGGGCAGCGCATCCCTGAAAAAAGGCAGCAGCATGACAGAAACTTATAAATACAACCCTACCTTCCCAGGACAGAGCACCTGGGGAAAAAAAAGGCAGTTATGAGTTCTGCCGCAGCAGACTTAAACATACCTGCCCAGCAGCTCTGAATGCAACAACAGAGCTCACAGCTCAGCACTTGAGCTCCTATGAAGGACAGACCGTCTCCTCAAGCAGCTCCCCAAACCCCATATATCCAAAGAGTCACCTCATAAAGGAGAGCTCAGACTGACATCTGGCACGTCTGGGACAAAGCAGAAGAAGAAACTGGCAGCAACCCTTACTGTTCTGCAGCCGCTGCAGGTGAGTCCCAGGCAAGCAGGGTCTGGAGTGGACCTCCAGCAGTCCTACAGCAGAGGGGCCTGACTGTAACAAGGTAAACTAAGAAACAGAAAGAAATAACTTCATCATCAACAAACAGGACGTCCACTCAGAGACCGCATCTGAAAGTCACAAACTACAAAGACCACAGGTAAATAAATCTGCAAATATGGGAAGAAACCAGCGCAGAAAGGATGAAAACACCCAAAACCGGAATGCCTCTCCTCCTCCAAGGGATCACAACTCCTCACCAGCAAAGGAACAAGGCTGGATGGAGAATGAGTCTGATGAATTGACAGAATCAGACTTCAGAAGGTGGGTAATAAGAAACCTCCGAGCTAAAAGAACATGTTCGAACCCAATGCAGAGAAACTAAGAACATTGAAAAAAGGTTTGATGAAATGCTAACAAGAATAAACAGCTTAGAGAGGAACATAAATGAATTGATGGAGCTGAAAAACACAACACAAGAGCTTCACGAAGCATACACGTTTCAATAGCTGAATTGACCAAGCAGAATAAAGGATATCAGAGGTTGAAGATCAACAATGAAATAAGACAAGAAGGCAAGATTAGAGAAAAAAGAGTAAAAAGAAACGAACAAAGCCTCCAAGAAATATGGGATTATGTGAAAAGACTTAATCTACGTTTGATAGGTGTACCTGAATGTCACGGAGAGAATGAATCCAAGCTGGAAAACACTCTTCAGGATATTATCCAGGAGAACTTCCCCCAACCTAGGAAGGCAGGCCAACATTCAAGTCTCGGAAATTATAGAGAACCCCACAAAGATACTCCTCAAGAAGAGCAACCCCAAGGCACAAAATCTTCAGATTCACCAGGGTTGAAATGAAGGAGAAACTGCTAAGGGCAGCCAGAGAGAAAGGCCGAGTCACCCACAAAGGGAAGCCTATCAGAGTCAACAGCGGATCTCTCAGCAGAAACCCTACAAGCCAGAAGGGAGTGGGGGCCAATATTCAACATCCTTAAAGAAAAGAACTTTGCACCTAGGATTTCATATCCAGCCAAATTAAGTTTCATAAGCGAAGGAGATATAAAATCCTTTACAAACAAGCAATTACTCAGAGATTTCATCACCACCAGGCCTGCTTTACAGGAACTCCTGAAAGAAGCACTAAACACAGAAAGGAACAACCAGTACTAGCCACTCCAAAAATGTACCAAATGGTAAAGAGCATTGGCACAATGAAGAAATGGCATCAACTAACAGGTGAAACAACCAGCTAGCATCAAAATGGCAGGTTTAAATTCACACGTAACAATGTTAACCCTAAATGTAAATGGGCTAAATGCCCCAATCAAAAGACACAGACTGGCAAATTGGATAAGAAGCCAAAACCCGTTGGTGTGCTGTATCCAGGAAACCCACCTCACATGCAGGGATACACATAGGCTCAAAATAAAGGGATGGAGGAAGATTTACCAAGCAAATGGAGAGCAGAAAAAAAGTAGAAGTTGCAATCCTAGTCCTTGATAAAATGGACTTTAAACCAACAAAGACCAAAAGAGACAAAGAAGGACATTACATAATGGTAAAAGGATCAGTGCAACAAGAAGACCTAATGATCCTAAATATACACACACTCAATACAGGAGCACCCGGATACATAAAGCAAGTTTTTAATGACCTACAAAGAGACTTAGACTCTCACACAATAATAGTGGGAGACTTTAACAACCCACTGTCAATATTTGACAGATCAACGAGACAGAAAATTGGCAAGGATATCCAGGACTTGAACTTAGACCTGGACCAAGCAAACCTAATAGACATTTACAGAACTCTCCACCCCAAATGCACAGAATATACATTCTTCTCAGCACCAAATCACACCTACTGTAAAATTGACTGCATAATTGGAAGTAAATCACTCCACAGCAAATGCAAAAGAATGGAAATCACAACAAACAAGTCTCAGACCACAGCGCAATCAAATTAGAACTCAGAATTCAGAAACAAACTCAGAACCACACAACTTCCTGGAAACTGAACAACTGGCTGTTGAATATTGACTGGATAAACAATGAACTGAAGGCAGAAATAAAGATGTTCTTTGAAACCAATGAGAATGAAGACACAAAATACCAGAGTCTCTGGGAAACATTTAAAGCAGTGTCTAGAGGAAAATTTGTAGCAATAAATGCCCACAAAAGAAGTAAGGAAAGATCTAAAATCGACACCCTATCATCAAAATTGAAAGAGCTAGAGGAACAAAATCAAAAATACTCAAAAGCTAGCATAAGACAAGAAGTAACTAAGGTCAGAGCAGAACTGAAGGAGATAGAGACACAAAAAACCCTTCAAAAAATCAATAAATCTAGGAGCTAGTTTTTTGAAAAGATGAATAAAATAGACCCATAGCCAGATTAATAAAAAAGAAGAGAGAATAATCAAATAGATGCAATAAAAAACGATAAAGGGGATATCACCACAGATTCCACAGAAATACATACTACCATTAGAGATTACTACAAACAACTCTATGCATACAAACCAGTAAACCTGGAAGAAATGGATAAACTCCTGGACATATACACCCTCCCATGCCTAAACCAGGAAGAAGCCAAAATCCTAAATAGACCAATAACAAGGGCTGAAGTTGAGGCAGCAATTAATGGCCTACCCACCCAAAAAAGCCCAGGTCCAGATGGGTTTACAGCCGAATTCTACTAGACATACAAAGAGGAGCTGATACCACTCCTTCTGAAACTATTCCAAACAATCCAAAAAGAGGGAATCCTCCCCCAAAATCATTTTATGAGACCAACATCATCATGATACCAAAACCCGGTAGAGACTCAACAAGAAAAGGGGTGGATCCAAGATGG